TGTGTGTGTGTGCGCGCGTGTGTGTGTACGCTTCCTGGGAAGCTGAGAATGTTTCTGAATGCCCTACGGTCTGCTGGGGTAATAATAATAATAATAGTGCAAAGCGCACAGAGCTTGCTGCTGAGCGGTGGTATGCGCTGTAAAAAATGTGATTTATTATTATTTATTCATATATATCTGATTTGTTAACTCTTTCGTGGACTTTCTATTACCTAATTGTTTCATCCTTAAATATTTAAATATATGCATACACACTGTATTCATGTATCTATCAATTTGTTCACTTCTGTCTGTTTCTGTTCTTAAATCCGTATCACATTCTGGCGAAGTATCATGTTTTTGTTTTTATTTTGTTCTGTTGTTGTTGTTGTTGTTGTTGTTGAGGGGGGTGTTGTTGTGTTGTTTTGTCGTTTTGTTTTGGGTTGGGGTTTGGTTTGGGTTTTTGGGGGGGGAGGTTTGTTGTTTTGTTTTTGGGTTTTTTTTGGGGTGGGGGGTCTTTTTTCACATCATTCAGTAGTTAAATGATTAATATTTTCCCTGTTACTGCCCTCTTTTAATCTCACAAAACCATGTGGTACAAGAATATTATGCACATTCTCAAAAAGTCTTCCTTTTATAGAGTGCATTGTTCAATGAATAACAAATGGAAGAAAAGTTACTCACTTGAGCAGAGATCAACCACCCTGTGCCCAGTTCTGAAACTTCACCCCTGCCCCTCCTCCCTCCTTCCCTCTCCCCTTCAGTTTCCCCATCCCAACTCCTTTGCACGCCCCCGTCCTTCAATCCCTTCCTCCCCTCCCTCCCTTCCTCTCCCCTCCCCTCTCACCCCCTCCCGTGCTAGCTAAAATATTACAGAAACCCACCTACATGAACTAATCCCATCCCATTCCAGTATAGAATAAATTTTTGCTCAAATCGTCATCATCCGTGACCTTGCCATCGTCACTGTCACCGCGACCTCGCCGACTGGTTCCACGCCGCGGCGCAGAGCGTTTGTTTGCCGCTTCGCGTGGCGGGCTACGGCGTATAGGCTCTTACTGCCGCATCGGTGTAATGAGGCGGAAGACGGCGCCAGCGGTACAACACGGCACATTGACGGGGGACAGAACTGGCGGCGGGAACTTGGCGCTACGGGGACACCAGGGGGGCGGGG